ATAATATGGGAAAGTTCTGTTTGCTGACTCTTGCTGAATCTTGCTTGCTTGCATTACTGTAGACAAGCATTAACTACCTACTCCCATGGATTTACATTTTTGGTCATTTCAATGACACAACTTGCATGCTGGTTGTACATCTCTGTTAGATCTTCCACAGATGAGGCTTCGTTTAAAGAGACTAAAAGGTTTTCACAGTGCCTTGTGAGCCAGTACATCCTATTTCTGAAGCTCTTCTGCAGACAGAACTCTCTTTGAAGTCAATGGGAGCTCTGTCTGAATAAGGACTTCAGGATTTGGGCCTCAGGATATAAATGCTATGATCAATCTTTTGAGCACAATGAATAACATTTTCTTGGCTCTCAGAACTATACTAAGCCAAACAGTAGCCCCAGGGATTCAAAAAGGGTTAAGCAGGAGAATTTGCTTTGTTTCAACCTACATCTTTATTTAGCTTTTAAATCAGCATAGTCCCCATGCCTAGTACTGACCTGCCTGAAAAAACCCTCCAACAATAAGACCAGATGTTTCAACAGTCAGTTTTACAATCAAACCTATCATGGCATGAGACACTATGAAAGAGAGTTGTGTTCAATGAAAAATAAACATACTTGCTGTAGACTGACCTGTTTAGAAGTTGTGACCTGAACGTACAGTCTGGAACAAAAGACTTGAAGGCTGAGAACTTTATTAATTATGTGACAGGGAGGTCTGTAGGCACTGATTTTGATCAGAACATCATAGTACTAGACACTGTGCAAACATCAGAGTTAGTGGTACAAAAAGTCGACAGTCTGGGTAGGCAAGACAGATACTCCCTGTCTCCTATTCCTTATAATTACTCTGACTTTATAGATGGAAAGTTCAGCTAGAGAGAGATTATATGACTTACCCAGTACCTCTCACAAAGTCTAGAATGAAACCTGCCTGCCAACCTGGTGCCTTACTGTCCAGACTATGCTCCCCCTTTTACACAATGATAACAGTATATTACAGGACTTAGAAAATCATAGCTTCCCGCCCCCATCCCAGCCTTGGCTGAACTCCAGCATCCCCAGCCACTTTCCCCCCTGAAACCGAAGGCCTTGGTTCTCTCCATTACTTGTGATGAGAGTTTGCCACTGCTGATTTCAGTGGCAGCAAGTCTAGATCCAGTGATAAATGACACCCTGATATGGACAGCTGTCAGAGCAAGCAGCAGGGCATCAGCAGTGTGGGAGAGCAAAACTCTCTTGCATTTTCAGCCCTCACAGGTTATCATGCAACTGTATTAATGAAACAAGGCACAAGAGAAAAGATAGACTGAAACAAGAGAAAGAAGGAAAAATATTGCAAATTCTTGTTGCCTGAACAGAAGAGCCTGCATGTTTTGCAGGCTTTTACCTCTGTGAAAACACGCGTGGAGGTGCACAGATGAACAGCCCAGTTCCTTTCCTGGAGTCCCAGGTCTGATGCCAGCCCTTTAGTATTTTGGTGGAGGAAGTCCTGCAACTTCTGCTTTTGCCCACAGTCAGTGGAGAGTCTAAAAGAACTGTAAATACCATGCTGGTATGCATTGCAATGGGAAAATGTTGAAGCCTTTGGGTGTGAATATATACAGGACTGCCACTAGCAGAAAGAAAAGCGTTTTGGAGAAGCAACTCCAAAGCTGATGAGGGAAACATAAAAAGCAATATAGTACCTGGAATATGAGCAACAGGACTCCCAAATACAAGTTCAGCAGCTGGAAGAATTTCTCCACAGTATCAATAAGACTGAGGAGAAGGTCTCCACTATATACCAGATATGCCCTGACACAGCTGAACCGACTTAAAGTTTTAAACAAGTAAAGTCTTGTCCAGCCTACAACTTGCAGCAGTGATGTAAACAGCCTGCTGATTCAGTTGTATTTGTAGACGGTTTCCAGGGTTTGCTTCTTTGATTTCTTCTTTTTCTTTTCTTTTTGTTTTCTTTTTTACATCTGGGTAATGAGTCCCCTTCCTTCTCCCTCCTTCAGCTAGGTCAAAACCCCTCTGACTTCCCCAGTTTCTTCAAAGCCTTGGCTCTTCTTCCCTGTGTGGATTTAGTCCAGGTGCTAGGCTGGTTCCTCCCTAGAGGCTTCCCAGTGTGATCCGCTCCCCTATCTTGGTTCCTGATCTTGAGGGAAGAGGCAAAACAGCCAGCAAGGAGAGGCATGTAGCAAGACACAGCTCAAGACCACTCAGCAGTTCCATTTGTCCACCTCCAAGATGCAGACAAAGTAATGTGTTTTTCCCTTCAAATTTAGAAACAAAGAGGGTTCTTAAGTTATAGTGAAATGGTTCCTTAAGTCTCCTCCCCCTTTCCCTAGGGTATGGGACCCTGCTCATCCCCAGGGAGCACAGAGATGCAGGGCACTCACAGACCCCGTCCCAGGGAGCTTCAAAGAATCCCCTTATGCAGCCCACCGCCACTGTGGGGTGGGCATGGCATGGGTTGGCAAGTCATGAAAGCCATGGACAAGGGAACAGTTGTGTGCAGCATTGCTCAGCCGCTTCTGGAGCGACGCATGAGGCAGCTCCTTCACAAGCCCATGAGATCACTTCTACGTGATTCTAGCTGGCAGGGAGCACTCAGCTTTTAGGATCCTACAGAGTCTGAGATTGGCTCTTGACGCTTCCTTCACCCCCAATTTGGAAACTCTCTAGGCAATGGAATTTGGTTGCTTATGCCCAAAGTGAAGACTGCAACTTGCTTTTACTGTCTTATTTGCCCATATCTTTCTTGGGGACAGGTATAAGAAGATGAGGCTGGAGGAGTTGCTGTGTGATAAATTCAGACACAATCCCAATTTTTACTTGCCAGAATACCCTCTTCCCTTGAATTTGAGGACTGTCACATAAAAAATTATATATACCATCAAAGTATATATGTTAAGATCCTGTCTGTGCTATGAATTGTAACTGTGTTGTACATGGACATCCTGATTTGATACAGCAGTAGCTGAGGCGGCCTCTGGGGTAGCACCACCAGAAACAAATTGTGCTCTCGCTGGAGCAATGTGAGCTATGAAATGATTTCCAGAAATAAGCATCTTCCTGCTGACATCCCAGATGAGGCTGACAGTGGCTCCAAGACTGCAGAATATGAATGAAACTTGTATTCACATCAGCTGTGTTAGAAATCCAGTACAACACGCTGTATATCAAACGGAAGAAGGATTCATCGAGGGCAAATAATTTCAGCTTCCAAAGAGAGACTAAGAAGGCTAATAAAAAATACATTTTCTTAATGGGCCTCTGTTGGTCTTGCTTTAATCTTCAAAAACCCATATCTTCACACATTATAACACTAATGATTACCTTTCTTTTTCATTCTTACTGACACATTAAATACCCAGTAAATGTGTTAACAAGAGTGCATTGCAGAGTCTTAAGACCAGTGCAACAGTGGTTCCCAGGTGAAAACCCAGCTTAAAACTAGGCAAATGTTGTTTACCTGCATTAACTCTTTGTTCCCTTACTGTTTAAGAAAATATCAGTGAAGGACAACTTGGGTCAGAGAAGTAAAAAGAGAATTAAGAAATGGTCTCTTTCAGATTGCTTCCATCACCACATTTATATCGTGCTGATCTCTTCTTTGTGAAGCATAGCAGCTCCCTTGCAGCTATGTAGGAAAACAGCTCCTCTGAGCTTCCAGCTCAAGTGAAACAAATGGGTAGAGCAAAAGATGTGACACGAGGAGCCCTGTGCTCTGTTCTCGGCTCTGCCACTAGAATGGCATGAGAGGGGGTAAGGCATTCAATGCCTCTCTGCATCAGTCTTCCCTGGATTTCATCAGCCGGTGAAGTCTGCTGATGACACAGAGCTGGGATATGCAGTTAAGACAGAGGAGTGGGAGGACACTGTACAGGAGGAAACCCAACTTGATAGAGAGTAGAAAAACAGAAATGGGGTGGAAGGTGTGGAGCACAAAGTGCAAGATGGTGCCCTTGAGGATCAGACCACAGAATCTTCTCTTACAAGCTGAGACTTCATTAGTTGAGGGCAACCACTGGTCACTTGTTAGAAGATGATGTACAAGTCAAGAACTCGAGAGGAAAGAACTTGAACTCAAGTTAAAGGACAACTGTACAGTAACGGTCAAGAAAATGCCTAAGCTAGAAATGAGAAGAGCAGTGAGGTCTGTGGTGGTCTTCTAGCAAGGATAGTTGAGACTCATATTCTACACTAACGTTTTTCAAAAAATGGTGCCTCATCAGTTTATGAAAATCAAATTCCAGTCCTATGATCCTAAGTTTTAAATAGTTTAAGCTCCTGACTTTCAAACTGGTTATGAAAGGGAAACTGTTTATTGCCTATAGTAACAGAAGTATTCTCAAAGACTACTTTGTAAATTTGACTACAGCAATGGTTTGAGTGTTACCTGCATGTTTAAAATGGAAGCAAAGTATCATGTGCCAGTAGGTGAGTAACATAAAATGGAACTAACTGGCCCGGTTTAATTGCCTATGGTAAACAAAACACAATCATTTGACAAAACCTAGAAATTGTAGAAAGTTTATTTGATCTGTTATATTATTTCAAAAGGAGTAACCTACCTGCTGCCTTATTAGTTAAACACAAACAGGGATTACATTTAAATATAAAGCACGGCTTCACAATTTTAGTCATCTTAAGGTACTCACTTACCTACTTATCACCCGCTTTCACAGGTCTCATTTTCCATTAGTTTTTCAGAAGCAATTGTAAAGTCATTTCTTGACTGCATTAACACAATTTTTCCTGTTATTTTCAAACATGATTTCATGATTTCTTTTCCAGACCTTACACAGTATCTCTGTTAAGAGCTCTTTTTCCAGGTGTGAATATATTTCAATACGTATACAGAACCCAAGGAAATATAGCTACACAGATTTTATTTTACTTATAAGCACAAAGTCACAAGCTGAGCTTTGTTATACTTTAAAATACATATTTCAACTAACTGCCAAGCTACACTGCTGTTACCAAAAGGCATCTCAAACAGTAAAGGGGAAGATCTTAAGTTTCATCTACTATCATCATTGAAATGTAGTCTCTGTAGTGAACAGAATCTGTTTCTGGATCTAGAGCAGTGGAGAGCATGTCCTCCATTTCTTCCTGAGTAAAGGGCTCACCTGAAAGACAGCAGAGAATAACACTTTGTCTTGATTAAGTATTCTTTTCAAGGCTGGTAAATTACACCGCTTTTTCCTTGCAGAGATCTCCTTTTGGTCCTCACACAGAGGAGAAAAGGAGCAATACTAAGGATCTGATTCCTTCACTTTTGCCAATGTAAGTGCTGCACACCAAGTGAGCTGGTCTAAGGGAAAGGAGAAAGAGGACCTGGTTCTTCTGATCTCCTGCTAGTTCACAGACTCCAAAACAGCCAGTTCGTCTCTGCCACAGGGATTTCAAAACAACCATTTTTGGCAGAATGAATTCTTCTAATGTGTACATTAGAATTATTATCTCTCATTTGGCTATCCTTGCACTTGTATTTTCATCATGAAAGGCTTCTGCCTTTTCTCTTTTAGGAGCTTCAAAGCTGCTGATGGCCTACTTCATCCCTCTTTGAGAACAAGGTTCTCATCTGAGGATGGGTCTTGCGCAAAGCCTGCACATCATTTTGTACTTGAGGCAGGCAGGCATGAGTCAGCCATGCAAGAAAAGCAGGCTCTTCAAGGGATATTGAGGATTACATGATATACGACTTAAATCTGGTCTTTGAATCTCTTTGTTTGCGTAGGGCACTGGAATTAAGGTCAAGATAATGTAGGAATGAATGAGCACTGAAACTACCTGAAACATCTGGAAATCTAAACTACAATTTTACAGAAGGACAGAAAAAGAGTCACATCTTTAGGAAGCACAGACATGTGCACAGAATCATAAACTATCCACACAAGATTGAATTATGACTCTTAATAATAATAATCTCTATCTTATAATGTCTGCAAGCAGGCAGATGATAAATGTTCTTTCCCTGCATTATTCACCAGTGAAATGTTCTAGTCTGCAGCCACTCATCATGGCAACAGTATTGTTTGAAGACAATGTATCTACTCCCGCAAGTTTTGGCATGCAGAATGAGGACCTCAAGGTGCCATATACACATGTAATGTCTATTTACTTAAATACTGACATTACAAAAGTCATGTTACCTTCTTTAGTCAAATATTTGACCAGCTCCTCTTTAGTAATATATCCACATTTATGCTCATCCAAAGCCTTTAAAGAAAAAGAATAAAACTTGTGGGTTTAACCACATTTAATCAAGAATCAGCAACTTCTTTCCAACAATTAGGTACTTGAATATTTAGTTACAGACCTCAAATGCATGTAGAAGAACATCTTCTGGAATAGGCCGGTAGCTGAAACCATTGAATCAGAAAGTTAACTCACTGTACTATTTTGAAAGAATAAAATAGGAGTACTAAAGGAAAGGGAAAACTTATTTTCTATGAGAATTTACTACGTTTGTCTACCAAACATTTAATTACAGCTTGACTTTTTGGAACTGTCCATATCTTTACCTCTTACGTCTTTTATTGCACTCCTGTTTAATTTTCCTTGTGCTAAGGAGCCAGATGAATGGCTTCTGGATGTCTGGGCTGGCTGAGTGGGTTAGTAAGGATCAATAATAGTGAATCATTCCACGTAGCCAATGCACTGAACAGGAGATGGCCAAACCAAGAACACAAAGTTTTGTCTGGGTACGCTGGTAGCTAGGCAACAGATCACCCAGTGGGACTTTGACAGTCTAATGAGCTGATGATGAGCAAAGGAGGCTGGTAGCTATAAAAGAAAAGGTCTGTCTGTCACTAACAATTTCAGAGAGACAGAAGAACTGGGCACGTGCGTGCGTGCATATGTGTGCCTGATTTCAGAGCTGGAAAGGAAGCCCTGTGCAGCAATGGAGAACTTCCATATCCCAGCAGACTTCACCAACCCCCAAGAATACTAAAGAGAAGATGTTAAAGCCAGGAAGCGTCTAACTGCTTGATTGTTTCATCCAGATCCGCCTCACTCTTTTACTGTCTAAAAATCAAATGTGCTAAGAAGAAGCCTTGTTTTTTGTGATCCAAATCTCATGTGCCCTTGGATAAGTGAACTATGGACATAGTGCCCCAAAAGACAAAGTGGGTCTTGACAAGCCTGAACTAGTCTTGAGAAAGTGTGTGGGTTTGTTTTTTTGTGTGTGTGTATGTTTGTGTGGAGAGGGTGTGGAGGAGGAGAAGAGAACCCAGAGCAACAAGGTATTTTGTGAAAGGGTGAACATTGGTGTGGAGCCAGAAATGTGCCTTGAAGGCCAGAGAAGGCAAAGGTGCAGGACCCTGGGAAGGCAATGCACCTGCCCCGGCACACCGGGACCCAACACTGCTGGCTGGTCTGTGTCCAGACATGGGCGCGAAGACTCTCAAACACAGCCCCAAGGTGGAGCCTGCTGTCTCTGGATGCTGCGAGAGGGTTTTGGGAAATCCTATAGCTATTTCGTGTGTAGAACACCCTCCTACCAAAGGCCCTCTGTGTGCAAAATAACTTCTCAGTATTGGACAAGACTGAGTCTCCCAAAACCCTTGGCTACCATCTTTAAAATGAAAGATAAATTCCCTATAAGTAATCTTGCTTTTAGTGCAAAATGTCAAAATAGCACAAGTTCCTGTGTACAGGCAAAGATTTCTATGTACCTTTGAATAATGAACAGCGTTTTTGTTCTAGACTTTTAGATCAGCAGTCTTTTAGAGTGCTAGTTGTGTACCTTCAACTGTACCTGGCAGTCACTTTGAGACATGAATATGAAGCTTATTTATACAACTTATTAGAAACACACTGTAACAGACCGTGCTTCTCAGTAACTGTAACTCATATGTTCAGAGAAAGTAATGGTTATGACCTTAATTTCAATGTAAAGTATTTCAGAGATGCACAAAACATATTGAATAGCAAGTTAATTCTGATTCACATTAAAAATACAAAAGCTACACATTATCACAATTCATGATTTTAAGCTGGTATTATTTATATCATCCATACAACATACAAAATAATTTTATGTAGACAAAGAAAATCTATCAAGCTAATGTAAACTGAGTTTAAATAACAAAAAAAATCTGTACTCCTTCCAGTTACATAAAATTACTATAGATATATATATTCAGAATCAACCCTGTCAATCTGGAATAAACTATAGACACAGAAAATCCACTTTCCATTACCTTCTGTCGAGTAGTACTTTTGTCATCACTGGAAGAAATTTTTCCAGATGAATGTGTCCGGTTGGTTCTTCTTCTTCTACCTAAAAATAAAACTTAAGTATGGCAGGTTACATGACTCATTACCAAACTAATATGAAAACCAGAAAATTGGGGTGGTTCCTGCATTAAAATTACAGGGTTAGACTTTGAATATTTGCATCAGGTTTTTAGTGTCACATGGCACCATAACATCTGAGTGAAATGCTTGCGACCAAACAGAAAGAAATTCGAGGAAGAAATAATATCCCAGGCAAAATACAGGCCTGCTATTACAGACACTTTCAACAACTCAATATTGCCCTCTTGTGCTTAGAAACCATTCATGCAAAGGAACTGGATGCCTAATAACTGATCTTATCTCCCACAGTAATTCAGCAGAGGTTTAAACATTCAGACTGCATTCATACTAGTAAAGTCTAGCAGGACCTGGAACATTCCCAAGCTGTGTAATGTGACCACCCACAACAGCAAAGCATTAGCACATTCCCTGGCATGATTTTGGCCTGTGCCACCTAACACTCCCCGCAGCAGTCACCAGGCCTGGCTAGGACCTTAGGGACTTTTCCCCAGCAGGCTGCTTTGTGCAGCCATGCTGCATAAAACATTTACCAGGGTAGACATGAGCTGCTCTGTGCCAGCTGGCTTCAACACCCAAGGATGTTTCTGGGCATATTTAATGTGCTAGTTTGGACATAGCCCCAGTCTAGTACACCTCAAGGATGGAATTTGTTGCCTCCAGTGTTTCATAGCCTGGCAGAGTTGTCAGGGGAAGGACCAGAGAGGCAGGCAGACTGAGTCAGGGCTGTCTGAAACAGTCCTAAGGCAGCCCATAAAATGCTACACAAAGAAAAGCTTCCCTTTGCCTCCCAAATAAATTAACAGATTAGTCCCAAAACATCGGAGACTTCTAGGAGCATTCGCACTGCATTCCTATACTTCCACCGGAGATGAGCAACATGGTAAAAACTGCTCCCTATCATCAGGGTGCATCCCTTCCCTGAAAATTTCAAGTTTTGCTCCCAAAAGGAGCCCTCTTAATGGAGCTAGCCTGTTCCTGTCTGTGTTGAAACTGGATGCATGCCTTGTGGTCTCACATGGCAGCAGCGACACCTTGCTAGGCTCCCCAAGACACAGCTCAGATTGAAAGAAGACTCAGAGAGGCACTGATCTGAAATCTCCTAACTGAGCCAGGAAAAGACAAAGTAAGAAATCTTCCTCTTGAGAGCTGGGTCAGAGCTGGGGTGATGCTGATACATCCTGTTGCTTAACCAGAGAGCTGCAAGTGCTGCTGCATGCTCTTTTCCAGTGCTCTTGAAGGGTTTTGGTTTTTAAAAGCATGCAGGCACCACCTCTTGCTGCTTTAGAGTGGAAATTGGCTTGAAAAAGCACTTTTTCCCTTCTGTTTGGTAAGCCTAGTGGAAGGGATCTTAGCAAGGAAATGAAGCTGTTGCATGCTGCATGCTAAATCAAATGGCACCTTTTACCATTACAGAATCATTTGTTTTAATCCTTGCTTGATTGAGAAGATGTAACATAACACCTGGTAAAACTTAACTTTTTTTCCAGTGACATAACAGTTAGCCAATACACTGAACTATACCATGCATCACAAATACTGAGATGTAACAGTACACAGGATGTTTTAGGGAACATCTGTCCTTCAACTAGTATTAGGTCAGAAGTCCACAGAGACAGAAAAAGAAATATGGTAGCTACTTATCAGAAAGAGATAGATGTGTCTTACATTAAGCAGAACAACAAAAAACAAGGACCCAAAACATCCATGAAGATGGTACGTTATATAAACCATGTTTAAGAGCCAAAAAATATTAGATCTGTTCATCCAAACAGTTGAAGGTCATCCTAATTTTCATACCAGAAGAGCTCACCAGCAATGACCACTTCAGAGCTCAACATAACAGATACCTCTGACAGTGTCAGCCCTCACTGACAAATATCATCCAGATTTGTCTCTTTTTGTTGGTGTGCTATTTGTATTTTGCCTTCAGAAAGCAGTCTGTGGAAGAAACGTGTCCTTCCTGACAATGGACCTAGTCCTGGGAGGTGATGAGCAACCTCAGCTTCCTCTGACCTAGAAAGAACAGCTTCCGTTTCAGTGGCTCTCCAGGCCCAGCAATACCTTGAACTGTTAAAAAGTAATCCTATTTCTAACATTGGATAGATATGTGAATAAACTGAATATATTAACCTCACCTAAGTCAGTAAGTATTCATATTTGCAGGTATATGTATCCTCTTACTCTTCCTCATGCTCACTCCTGTTCTACACCTCATTTCCCATTCATGTTTTCCTTTTTTCTGTAATTCCTCCTCTTTTCACAGTGACCGTGACAGTAACAGTATTCATTTGTTCAAACTCTGTGAGTTTTGCTCTATTTCCTTCCTCTGAATACATCCACAGGTCCCATAACAACTATATTGTAGCACACATTATGTTTCGTATCTCTACTCTCACAGCCATACTATTATTTTCCATATAACATTTGGGGACTTGAGTCACAAAGAAACAAAACCATCTTCCAGAGTTATCCAGGAGATCTGTGGCAGAGCAGTGCACTAAACCTGGGATTTCAAACTCCAGGCATTGTAGTAACCCTCAGATTAGCTTTCACCATCTCTAGGTTTATCATTTAATCTTAACTTTGTAAGTAGGCCTAAAGATATTCTAAGTACAGCATTTAGCATAAGGCAGTATAGCAAACAGTATATGATAATTTTTAGAGATAAAATAATTACATGAATGCTGATTTGGCAGATATTAATAATTTGAGGACAACATATGCTAGTTTAGCTACAATAAAACTAACAGGAAGATGAGATGACTGAGAGACACAAGTAGTGAGAAACTGAAATGAATCACAGCTTACAATGGGCAAAAATATTGGATAAATAGCTTGGTTACAAACTGGCCAATAGAGACAATTTTTACCTTATCTAGATTAAGATAAAATGGTATTACCATAGTCAATGATAATGGTATCTTATATAAATTAAGATATATTTGTGATTAACATAATACATCAAGGGTTCTACAAAAAGACAGTGTTCTTCTGGTACTAAGCCTGTGCCAAGGTTTCATTAGAGGCACCATGAAACCTTCTTTGAGATTTAACTTCCAGTGCAGTGTTCTTTAAGGTTAACCATTACTCTTAAATGTATTCTTTCTTCTTGCAGTATTTGTACTTTAATTTAATATCCTTATAATCGACAATTGCATACATGTTATACTGTTGTATCTCAACAATCTTCCACCTCATAGCTGCATTGCATTGTACTTTCTTATGCATTACTTATCTCATATTTTCAGTAATGCTGAAAATTGGGGAAAAAAAAAAAATTAGAAAGTCCAATCTCTTTGGGAGGGGGAGGCAGGCCTTAAACTCTCCTGGTTCCCCTGGACTGGGCAGGGGGTCAAAGCATCTGCTTCCTTTTCTCAATTCTGTATCTCGAGTCAGTTGCTCTGTTCATTTGCTGCAGACAAAAATCTCTGTGGGCCACTAAAAATATCATCTGTATTAAGCACCATAATTTATCTTTTCATTTTGTCTTGTTTGTCAGTGGGAGCTGGGACAATCTGGTACTGAGAGTACAGAACCAGAGCAGACAGATTGCAGTATCATGTTAAAAGATCTTTCTCCTCCAATGGTTCTTTGCACTTCCTCATCTGAAGCAGCTGTATCATTTTCACAAGACTTAGCACACTAAATTCTGATCTACAAGAGACCAGGCAAGCCTGCTGAGGAGACTACTACTGCAACCATCCAAATTTGGGGGGGGTACAGAAGGAAAAGAGTAAGAGAGATCAATTCCCAGTATCCTGACCTATACACGAAAAAGAAAAAAAACCTTCCCCCACCAATCAGCCCCCGCATCTTCCATTGCTTAAGGCAGCACATCAGTTTGCAAAAATAATGTGAAGTCTTCTTCCCACTTCTTTGTCCCATTTATTAACCATACCCTACCAAGGCACCAGCACACTATCCTTTCTCTTACAAGCATGAGATAAAGAGACAAAAATTAGTGCAGGAAAGAACTGTGGAGAAATGTGATTGAAGTTTCTTACCCCTGCATAACACTGGGAGAATGGGAGGACCGCTAGGTCTTGCAAAGTTTTATGTGTGAATTCTGAGTTACAGGCTTAAGTAATCAAGTAAGAAAAGATTACTTACCTATAACTGAGAAATCTCAAGACTGGGAGAGACCTCATGAAGGACAGAAAGTTGAGAGGTCTGGCTATAAGATAGCAATAAGAAGATGCAGTGAAAAAAAATAGCAGGTCTTCCCTCTGCGTATTTTTGGAATTTGAAGTAGAATTTTAACACCTGCTCAAGAACTAATTTTTATTACTTAACCATCCAGTGTATGTCCATGGCATGTCCAGAAGAGTGAGATGGTTAGTTAGGGTTTGGATATCCTAATCCAACTGAGGTTTAGGACATTCTTTTTGCTCAGCCAAACCCAATTTTTCCTCCGTTTTCTATAAATGTCCCTCCACCTTGGCACAGTGTCACAGTGACCTTCTGGGGTAAAAGAGCATCAAAGATTCCTCATTTTAACCCACCAATGTTGTTACCTCATCACCCTAAAGGCTTGCTTCAGGGCAACCTGAGAGACTGCCTGCCTGCCTGAATCACTTCCATGACACTTCCAGCCTCTGGGAGAAGAGCTTAGGTTTTCCACACAGCAAGGCAAAAGGGCCAACCTTGTGCAAGTTTAAGATTGAAAAAAATACAAAAGATCTAAACAGTTACCTTTGCAAGCAGTTCATGTAGTTCTGCCTCAGTTGGGAAGCAACCCAGTGACCTGACAATTGAACCAATCTCTCTGAAAGAAAGAAAGAACATCTTTGTCAGTAAATCTGCAATACAAGAGTGTCTGTGGAGAATCCAGATACCAATTCACAGCTTGTATATAGGAGTGTGCATGTACAAGCACACAGGCACACATAAGCGTATGTATCTGGACTTTTAAATGATGTCTCAGTAAGCAATGTCTATTTTTACAGACATTAATTATTCTGGAGCTTTTTGGAAGAGTATAATTGCTCTTGTGACTTTCCCCAAAAATTCTTCTTTACCATTGTGTTGCAGCGTACTGTGTGCAGGTTCCTTTTCAACTGCTGTCCTCTAATTGTTAAGCTTAATTTCAGTAAAGTCTACATTTATATAGTTAAGAAGACACTTGGAAACCTACTGAGATGAAAGGTAACAAATAAAATACATGTTTACATTAAATGCTATAAAGAGACAAATTCTAACTGCAGTAAAGAACAACTACAAAAGGTCAGGAAGGAGGCAGCCCTGCTATGCCCCTGCTGTGGTCTGAAAGAGTCAAACAGACCAACACAGTGGCTTATCACCTCCCTGTTTATGCTGCAAAATATATTCATAGCTTGCATTTACTGCTGAACCTGGTGCAGTTGTTCTGAGGATCTAAATAAAATTCTGACCCATCCTGGTTTTGGCTGAGATAGAGTTAATTTTCTTCCTAGTAGCTGGTATAGTGCTACGTCTTGGGTTCAGTATGAGAAGAATGTTGATAACACACTGATGTTTTCAGTTGTTGCTAAGTAGTGTTTAGACTAAGTCAAGGATTTTTCAGCTTCTCATGCCCAGCCAGCAAGAAGGCTGGAGGGGCTCAAGAAGTTGAGAGAGGACACAGCCAGGAGAGCTGACCCAAACTGGCCAATGGGGTATTCCATACCGTATGATGGCATGCCCAGTATATAAACTGGGGGGAGTTGGCCGGGGGGGGGCAGGCAGATTGCTGCTCAGGAACTAACTGGGCATTGGTCAGTGAGTGGTGAGCAACTGTCATTTTATTATTGTTATTATTATCATTACTATTTTCTTCCTTTCTGTTCTACTAAACTGTTCTTATCTCAACCCACGAGTTTTACCATTTTCCTTCTGATTCTCTCCCCCATCCCACTGGGGGGGGAGGGAGTGAGTGGGCAGCTGCGTGGTGCTTAGTTGCTGGCTGGGGTTAAACCATGACATGACCAAACTAGCAATGCCTCAAAAAAGTTTAAGAGGAACACCATCACAGACTAGAAACAAAAGTACTGTGAAGCTGTAAAAAAGAGTACTAATGAGACTTACAGTCTGATTGAAAACAAAATAACATAGGCATCAATACTGCTTGTGATTTTCAGTCCAATTCTACAACACAGAAATTCAAGCACATCTGAATAAGTATCCACAGTGCTGGTAGTTCCCATGATTCAAACCTCTGTGGTTTCTTAATCTTCACCAGTATATTTGGTGGAAAAATTAGATTGCCTAATAAAAATGGTAGATACAAGAAGCAATGACCTTTGTAAAATCATCTTCTAACAGTAAGGCCCCAAATGCGGCACACAGAGCACACATAAAATTATAGGCATCAGTCGTTGCCCTCCTCAGACAGGTCCCGAGGAGCTCCCATTCTGATTGAAAACATGTGAGAAGCACTACAATAGACAAAAGAGAAGAAAAGGCTGGCTGCACAAAAATAGTTGGAAAACAAAACCCAATCCCACACATACAGTTGTTATGAAACGAAGCCATCTGCTCAAATGACTCAGTGAAACCTTGCCCCCCGTGGACGTGAATGGAAGTTTGGCCATCGGCCTCAATGAGGTCAGAAATTTAGTCCTATTTTTATAATCCTTGTCCATGCATCCTATTTCTAGTATGGATATACTGTATTTGCTGCTCTCACTCCTGTACTCTCTCATCTTTTCCAGCTAAAAGATACCTGTAAATACTCTCTGCCTCCCCCAAAGAAACACCCAACCCAAATCATGCCTCTCTGCTGTCCCACACTATTTCTACTCTTACAGACTGCCAGAGATGGGAAGGTTGCCATCATCTCCTGCCACAGCTCACACTCAGCAAAACTGCGATGTGATGAAGGTAAGCCAGGCCCTGAAAGAGTTTGCAAAATATGGCATTGCTGGCTGCTGTTTCTGACAGTCTGTGCGTGTGCCAGCATGAGGATGTTGTTTGAAGTGTCTGTGGTCAAAAAAGTCATGCCACATTTGGTAATGACATGGAGTTTAAAGGACCCAGATAGGAAATTGTATTTTCCTCCCAGCCACTTCCTCTCTCTTAGTTCAGCAGCTGCGGTTTCTGCTGTGTAGTTTCTTGCATACAAAAATTATGGTTAAAGTGAGTTTATGTTCATACAGGTTTTGTAACACAGACGCAATAAAATTTTGGGCCATAGTTTTCACCCTACATATAACACTTTCAATGACAAGATTTGCAAAATCATGAAAGCCCTTGATTCAGGGTGTGTTGTAAGCAGCATGAAACAATACCATCTTCCTCATGCTTAATTTCTTACTGACTTGTATTTGCATTAGAAGTCATGCAATACCAATGCTGGCCTGTCAAGCCAGGGTAATTTTCCATATTCTTCACAGGAATCTGATATTTCAGGCAATAACATTCATATGTCTACAATTCTGGTTAAGAATTGTGCTGTACTGCCACCTTCTGATACAAGATAATCAGCCATTAATAATCCCATTATTGTGATACAGCCCTGCAATATGAACCTAGGAATAATTAGACAATAAATTGTTGTTCATTGTCAATAGCTGTGCTATGATAAAAACTAATGTGAAATTGTGCATTTACTATGTTAATGACTTTTGAATGTCCCCTCTCACAGGTTATGACTTACTGTCTGAATGAATAAATGTTTAAAAAGTCTATTTGTATAATTTCATTGCTGTAACATTTTCTCAAGCCCTATATCCATTATATAGTAGAGTAGGGAGTGTAGCGAATTTTACAGCTATTTAGCCAGGACTGCAGATGTAAATGACAAACAAACAAGTAATGAGTATGTCATGGTGCAGTGAGGGTTAGGGGCTCCTCAGGGCTGGGGGGTTGTAGTGGCAGGGGCTTCCCAAGGCGGGTGGCAGGGCAGGGCCGGGCAGCCAGGGCTCTCCCACTGCCCAGCCAGGAGCAGGGCAGCCGCGGGGCACCGGGGCAGCCCCAGCCCTGGGCATCAGGCATCTCCCTGGGGATGGGCAAAGAGATTTAAGTGAGCACTCTTCCCAAAGAGCCCTATGGGCGAGGGAACAGCAACTGTACCAAGTGTGGGCACGTACCCTGAAATTCTCCCTATCTAGTACAACCGAAAAATCATTTATTCCTTTGTACTGTTTATACTCAATAACTGATTTACAATTAAAAGCTGTGGTGATATTCTTGTGAAAATAGTAATTGGAAATATGAAAAATTACTTCAATAAACTTTAATGACAACAGCTTATAACAACTTCAGAACCTGCTCAGTGAGACATAAACATGTGGTTTACCTATTTTATAAGAAAAGCCATATTCTTATGTGTATGGATGTTTGTGTTAAAATGAAGTTAAAGTAGCACTGTCAAATAGTCAAACTTTAAAAATACCAGAATCAAGATTATTTAGGAATCTTGAAATTTTACTTCTTTTAGCTCTGTATCTTGTAGTCAGTTATGCCCTGATCAGTCTAAGAGTCCATGTTTTTATCTTCCACTGAACTTTTTCTTACTCCCTCAGACATGTGTTTTGTTTACATTTCCATAACACTGCATGCTAAAGATATAGTGCATGCAGTTCTCCCTCCTGATTCCCACCTGTGCATCCCATTCCCCCCGTTCTGGTCATCTCATTTCAAAAAGGAGAAAGCTGAACAAGAAGGAGCACAAAAAAGAATGGCCAGAGCTATGGAATAGCATCTCCTAAGAGATAAAACACATCCAGACTCTTCAGACTTAAACTACTGTGATGGAGGATGGATGTGGCAGACAGCTAATGAAATCATTAATGGTGTCAAGAAGATTAATAGAGAACAATTGTTTGCTATTTATCATAAGACACAAAAAAACCCAGGCGCCACTCAAATCATAATGTGGCAGATGTACAAAAACCAACAAGAAATACTGCGAATTTACTCAATTCCTTATATTCCTCCCCCAAGTAACTATTAGTAGCCCAGATGAGGGTACTGGGCTAAATGGACTTTTGGTGCAATCAAGTATGATCACCTTCATGTTGCTGTTATTGTTGTTATTATTATGTTAAATAATCAAATTGTATGCACGGTTCTTCCAAGTCTCCTAAAAACACTTCCCTGTCAGAGCAATATCCACCTCCCACATTGCCCCAGAGGAAGAGGGACGTGCAGGATGCACTGCAGTTGGAGACACCTACGGAGAGCAGGTAACTGTGACACACACTGGCCGGGACACCCCTTGATGCCCTGGGACTATCCTGAAAGTGAGAGGATCCATACAGTATCCAGGACCTGTAGTGCCAAATGAGCTATCAAAGCAGACATTTGCTAGTAATAATTGTAGCCTTAGACTTTTTGTCTAGCTGCATTTTCCTCTTGCCTCTTTACCCTACTAGTCCCAGCATCCCTCTCCCAAGCCAGTTTCAGTCTTCAACCACTTAACACATTGAACAATGCAAAATGTCTATTAAACAAGGAAAGACATAATTGTCCAACCAGGGCCAAAAGGACTGTTTCAATTACATTTTCTGATAAAGCAGAGGCAGGTTTAGGAACTTATTTATCTCTATACTAGATCCTGTAGTATTTCTGTGTGAAGATATTTACGAACCTGACATCCACAGTTTTATTGCATTCATGGTCAAACACCTCAAAAGCTTCTATAATCTTTTTCTCAATTTCAGCTACTGCGCCATCTGCAAAAAGAAACATAAGAAAAGAAAAAGAAAGATTCACTGAGCTGTTGCAACTCATTTATTTCCAATTTAAGAACTGCGACAGCAGAAGCACCAAAACTGATAAAGGGGCAGACAGGAAAGGTACTTCGAAAAAGCAGAAGTTATTCTGAAAAAAAAGACTCTAAATGCAGCATCTTGTCATTTGTATTAGTAATCCGGCCTTGCTATGGCACTGCAGCTACTTCAAGTCTGGTGGTAATGGTGCGTCTCAGCTGCACGATCACCAAGCTGCCCAGGTGTGGACCCTGCCACAGCTCCTTCTGGACCACGAGCCTGAGCCCCTCCTGGATGCCATGGTGCCAGCGGAAGAAGCAAGGCAAACCTGGGCCCAGGCTTGCCATGAGATGGGGCTGAGTCACTTCATCCAAGTTCCTGCATCCAAGGAAATGTAAGTGCTCTCATGCCCACTAAGTTAGCTATAATGTATGAAAAGCTGAGAACCAAGAATAAAGAGATGGCTAAGATATGTGCACAGTGAATGTGCCTCACGGTAAATAATTTATTGCAACAGTTTGCAAAGGAAGACAATCTCAGGGAAGGGGAAGGAGCAGTTTGCTGCGTTTGGTTTTTATATCTCCATCTCAAAGAATGGGGAAAGAAGAACCACAAGTCGTCACAGTTATATCTCGTCTAAAGCCAGAAATTGCATTCTTGGGGTAACGGAAGTACCAGGAAATAAATTCTGAAGAGAAAAATGTAAAGAAAGGAAGGAGTCCATCTCAAAAAAAGCTCCCTGGCAAGGAAACCAGGGTAAATAAAGAGTGAACTGGTTAGCCCATTTATTAATGTTGTAGTTTGACTCCAAAAGACAGAATATAGGAAGCAAAGTGATAACGGAGTTGACCTCTTCATTTCCGTGGCTAAATACAGCCCCAGACTCCAACTGGCAAACCAACTCTCAGGAGGCAGCATTTCGTGAGCTAGCCCCACAGCCTCCACAGAGATGCCACAGGGAAAATTTGAGTGACAGCCAGAACATGGCTGTCTCTTTTGTATTCCCAACATCATGATAAAACAGAACTCCTCTCTATCAGAACAGATTTCTTTTCTTCCTTAAGCTCATCTGGTGTTAAAAGTGTTGTTGAGCAGCTCTGCTGGACACTGTTTCCACTGACATAACAAATCCATACCTAGTTTCCTACAATCCCAATGTTTTGGGAATCCCTGGGGCTGCAGTCTACAACCATTTCTGTCATTTGCTCTCTTGCCCTTATGACAGAAATGTCTGGTTTGTGGCAAAGGGTATCAGAACTGAACCTAGCTAAAAGATACACTGGCTTTGTGATCTCCCTGTTTTTACCTTGTCCCATGAGCTTTTTTATTGTATTTTCTCCCCTTGTGCTGCTGAGGAAGAGTGGCTGGGTGGGTGCCTGGCAGCTGCCCAAGATCAACCCAGCACAGGCTGCAAGCACTTGACTATAGTAGTGGATTGACGCAGGTATAAGGAAGCTCTTTTTCATGTAGAAGAGAGGTGTACCTTGTAACGGTACAGGTGCCTGCTGCTTTCTGCCTGTCTTTGGTACTGAACTCCCCCAGAGGATATGTAAAGAGAAGAGAGGTAGGAATATATCCTGTATTCCTCTCTCTGACTTTATTCTCCTGGTGGAAGCATGAGCAGGCACATGTACAATGGATTGAAGACTGGAGCTCACTGAGGAAGAAGAGCCCTGTTCAGTCCCCAGATACAGGACTGTCGCGGTTCAACCCCAGCTGGCAACTAAGCACCACACAGCCACTCGCTCACTCCTCCCCAGGTGGGATGCGGGAGAGAATCAGAAGAGTAAAAGTGAGAAAACTCGTGGGTTGAGATAAAGGCAGTTTAATAGGTAAAATAAAAGCTGCGTGCACAAGCAAAGCAGAACAAGGAATTCATTCACCACTTCCCATGGGCAGGCAGGTGTTCAGCCATCTCCAGAAAAGCAGGGATCCAGCACGCCTAACGGTGACTTGGGAAGACAAATGCCAAATGTCCCCCCCGTCCCTCTTCCCCCAGCGTTATAGGTTGAGCATGACATCATATGGTCTGGAATATCCCTTTTCTTTGGCCAGTTGGGATCAGCTGTCCCAGCTGTGTCCCCTCCCAACTCCTTGTGCCCCCCCAGCCGACTCCCCGGTGGGGTGGGGTGAGGAGCAGAAAAGGCCTTGGCTCTGTGTGAGCACTGCTCAGCAGGAACGAAAACATCTCGGCATTATCAACACTGTTTTCAGCACAAATCCAAAACATGGCTCCATACTAGCTACTATGAAGAAAATTAACTCTAGCCCAGCCAAAACCAGCACAAAGACACACTGTGGTTTTTTCATGGCTTGACAATAATCCCTGCCTTTTATGTGCCTAAGCAGTACAAACCACACTTAATTCCTTCCAAAAAGCATAGTTAAATCTAAGTGGACCTGATTCCTTGTAGAAGAGGCCCTAAAGACTTACTCTCAAACTACTAAACTCGATGGAAGTTTTTTCAGTGACTTCAAAGAGTGCTGGATCCAGTCTCCAGTGTAGACTGTTGGAATTCAGTTCTTGAAATCAGGCACTTCAGTTGTACACTATGTCTTGCAATAGAGAAATGCTGAAGGAATATTTATAGCTGTATATTCTTGGCTTGATGAGTGAGCCTTCTGTAGAAATAAAAATTAACCAGGGGAAGGCAGGGAAACATTTCCAGTACTGGAACTACGTAGCCATCCAACCTCTTCAAGCTTTGCCTTCTGTGAAAATAGTATACATTAATCTTACCTGTTTCAAGAGGCCTGTCAAAGAAAGATCCTGAAATGAAATAACTTCATGATTTAATCTAAGTACCAGATAATCCATATTTCTTCTAAGAACTGAGAGGAAGTTGTGATTAAGAGCCATAACCATGGAAGAAAATATAATATGCTGTAGTCCTCTCAAAGACTCTATGTGAGATGAGTGAACACCTAATAAGCTATTGCCTAAATCTTGTCGTCCCTCTAAGGATGAAAGCCAAAGATATTCAACATAGTTCAGGATGGCAAAGCTAGTTATCTGAAGACTTCTTGGATTCACTCTAAACCTCTCTTTGGGAGGGAGAAAAAGATGGATTCCAGCTCTAGGATAAGTAATGGACAAAGGTTTAAAATGATCCCTTCAAGAAGGGCATCAAGAGATCAGACATGCAGTTAACTCAGCAGATGCGATCCTCCAATGTACTGAAATTTTTCTGCACAAGGATACTCTGCTCCATGGATAGATCAATGAAAGTTTCATGTTGCCCTGTGGAGCAATTCTTTAGCAATTTTCAGGACAGAAATACCTACGGTCTGATCGAATAAAAGATTTTACTCACTTATTCTACTAACTAGAAAAACTATACATAATATCAAAGATAAAATTACCTGATTACTTCTAATGGCTTAAATAAGTAAATATTGAAACATACCATGCCAAAAAAGATTCCAATACCTACAACTAATTATTCCCTCAAATGTATCCTGTAGGGATGATATACCATTTTCATTTTTATGCTGCTAAAATGCTTCAGATACTTGTTGGGTTTTTCTCATTTTCTCGTTCTCATGTATTTTCCTACCACATAAGCAATAAGAAGACAAAATGTCTTAAAATCCATTCCTCGGTTACATTAACTGAAAAGTGTATTCACTATCAGTTTCCTTTCCTGTACCATCCTTTGCTATTTTCCCAGTTTGTTTAGCATGAACTAGACAAATCTCTAGACACTGACAGTTAAGTAAGACTGGCAGGGAGCTGGGAGTCCCAAATTAATTCTGCTGGTTCTTTCAGACTGAATTGTTCCTCTTCAGATTGTCCAGACTGTTCCCCAGCACGCTGAGGCCCATTTGAAGCCAGCCCTTAAGCAGCACACCTGCCTCATTTGTGACATTTCTTCTTCAAAGACCACATCTTCAGTCTTTGTAGGGAACAGAAGCAATTAAATAGATGTGGCTCTGCCAGACTCTTGAGTAATGAGCATTTTAAAAAGTGATTTCTAGTTGATACAATTTGCTAGATTCTACCATTCATTTAACTGTATGAGCTTGCTTTCTTTTCTTCCTCAGGGCCAGTTGCTCAGATGGTTCAAAAAGCCAACCCTTCCTTTAACTGAAGAGAAATTATGTGCAGAAAAAAGAGGTATCAAAAGACCAGGTAGGCCAACATTAAACAACCACCTAAAATGCTGGAAAGCAGCATCTGTCTGCTGCTCACAGGAAAAGGTTTAGTCCCAGTGTAGCCTGATGAACCTATTAACACAATGCAATACTCTGAAACTCTTTTTGTACTATGTAAAAAGTAAAATTAAGGGCTGATTTGTAGAAGCACCAGTGGACTTGATTTTATTATTTAGTGTTACTGCTCAACACACCTGAAATGGTAATCTTTTAAACATTAATCTAGGTATATTTTAATAAATATGGTCAAAGTTATATTTAAATGCCTATATGCATGTGGACACCTCATTAATTACTCCATCCTCTCTTCACGGTACTAAGTTATGGTTACAAGCAGGTGTGAGGAAACCCCTGAGGTCTCTGGTGACAGGAACCCTTTCTCACATGGGGCTGCCTTGCTGAACTTGAAAGGACAAGGGACACAATCCCAACTCAGTGACAGACAGTTTTAGAGTCATTTACAGGTTGTTGTTCTGATTTTATTTAGAAGTGGTGTTATTAACAGCTCTTTTGTAGATCTCCCCATTCACTAACTGGGGCTTATGAGCAGGAAGTACAGAATCGTACCAGTGGCTACATACTCCAGCACCATTTCTTCTCTTTCCCACTAGCCATTATTTCAACCAAAAAAGTAGGTAGCAACCTTGGTAACGTCAGCTGAAAAACTGTGAATGGGATGCAAAGACTGCCATGACGGAACAGGAACATTTTTAAGAAGGCAATGGACATGAGAGGGGACATAACTGTGCAGGCAGCCACATGACAGAATGTGAGTCTTAAAGGCCCCTGCATCTCCACTTGACTTCAGT